CTAAAAAATATTATAAATGAGACAAGGGAAAGAAACATATCGAAGTAAAAAGAAAGAAAGAAAGTTAGTTGAAATAAAGTAAAATTTTTTAGGTTGGTGAAGGCATATCAGTTTAAAAGCAAAAAGACAGCAAGATGAAAAATGAAAGTGCTAAGACGCCTTTTATATAGCTAACGTTGAGATCAAATAAACATCCCATATCATGTCACGTGTCCTAAATGCTTAAAAGGGATGACCATTTGCCTTCCTAGCTTTGGGTTTTTACTGCCCAAATACATCTTTCCTCATTAAATGCTATTTTCAAACAGTAAAGAGGCAACCGATCATTCCACCTATTCGAGCCAGCTAGATCGATCGTAAAACCTAGGCCGAACCGACTGATTGCGAGGTTAACCATGTATTAGACTTGAAAATCAAACTCCAACACCAAGAAAAGCATAAATCTCACATCAGTATGCACCATGTCAGAAACATAAATCATGTCAATAATTATTCCTAAACTCACTTGACCCAATGTTGGTATGCTTATACATAACATCATTCACCTTAACAACACCAGAATGGACCAATTAAACATATAATCTAAAACCCACGCTTAGGATCAAGCTTAGCACCTTTGCTCACACATCAAGTTGGCATACTCCAAAGTTGCTAAGGCTATACTCAACAATCCGTAATTGATCATAAACCTCTTATACTTGACCGTCACATCAGCCTCAAGAGCATTTAACTTTGACAACGTGAGGTCAAGTCTAAAGCACAAATTTTCAAAACCCATGTTTAAAAAACTTACGGTTGGATTAGCAAACACGTATGCCAGAAGGGTTTAATCAAGCACCTATCAATCCGATACTCAGATTGCTCAGTGAAAGGATAGACTGTTAGGGTATTTTTGGGTCTAAAGGGTAAACTATCATTTTCCCTCATTAGAGACTATTAGTAGAAAGCCAAAGGCATTTTTAATTTTTGAGCTGACCTAACATACATAGTACCACGTTAGCTCGGCTATGTCATTATTTTATCCCACAAATTTCTTACCTTTCACCTCTAAATAAAGCCATCAAGGTACTATCTATCTTGTTTTATTTTCTCTTACTCTCTTCACTTTCCATTCTTCTTCCAAACTTTGACTTGAGTGTCAGAGTATAAATGCAGGGAACACTCCTTGCCTTTACCCTTAATCGCTTTTTTTCTCTTGTAATTTCAAGGTATTGACCCTTAACTCGAAGTTTGATACTAACAGTTAAGATTAAATCCCTATTTAATGAACCATTTATAGCCAACCACAATGGAGGAAGGAAGAATCAGTAACAATCAACAATTAAGAGAATAATTGGCAAGCAATAAAAAATGGAGCAAAAGCATAGTAATTTGCTCTAATATTATTTTAGTGTTTGAAGTTAGGCTTATTAATAGTGAGGGTCTATTAGGAGATTCATTCAATCCAACATTGAGTTTGGTGCAACAATTAACGTCTTGTTTGTGGTCTAAAAGGATACAAGAAGTCAAGAACTAAGGGCAAACTTAAACCTTACTTTTACTATTGTGTAAAATAGGTTAAGGTAATTATACATTGGATAAATTCTTAACCATGCTAAGAAAAATGAGTAAGGAAAAGGTGATGCCCAGTGCTAGTGATATTTCAATTTAGGTTTTGAAAATTCATTATGTTGTTGTTTTGTACCATGAGATGTGATATTACTAGATTTGGAGTTGGAGCCAAACAAGAGGCAAATTAGATTATATTATTGCAAATATTGGTAGTTAGGGATTATCAAATGACAACAGTCAATTATATCATAATTTTATAATTTTTATATAATTTTATGAATTTATTTATTTTTAGTCATATTTAAATTCTTATATTAAGACATGTTTTAATAACATAAAAAATAAGATATCGATTAGATAATGATTGATAGATTAAATTTTCTTGTATTTTCTTTTGTGTTTTTATCATGTAATTTTTATAAAAAAAAATTAAAAACAAGTGAAAATTCGACTAATAATGAAATTCTAAAAAAGTTATGGATGGTAATTTTTTAAAAAAATTTAGGTAAGAAAACATTTTCTAAATTTGATCAAAGTATTAGAGGATTTAGAAATTGGGCTCAATATAAGAATTTTTATTTATTTTTAATTTGAGATCAAAATTAAAATTGAAACAAATTTTGATTTTTTCATGATTAATTATTTGTGATTATATGTTATAAAATATGTATTTGTTCATGTATATAAAAATAATTTTTTTCATAAAATACTTAATAAATCCGATAATGAAGCCTCTTAAAGAAAATAGTTATATTACTTGAATACTCTTAAGGTGATTTTTATGGGTTCAATTAAGGTACTGAATAAAATCTAAAACTATTTCCTATATTTAAATATAAAATCAATAAAAATAAGTAGGGACCGCTGAATTAAAGCCCAAAAAAAAAATTTAAGGCTAATTTGTATCATTTTAGAATGGGTATTGTAGGGGTGTTATAATTTTTTTTTTACCTATAATCAAACTCTTGAACCCAATTTTAAGATGTAGACTGAACATATTCTTTTAAAAACTCTTAATCAAACTTAAGACCTCTTTAAAAAAATAGATTTATTAGGTAATGAATCACACTTAATAAAAAAAATTAATGATGACTCTTAATTTTATGTACAATGATAAATTCATAGACAAACATTATGACAATATGTATACTCGTATAAACGTACAAGTGTTGGTCTACCTGGCATGAAAAATATGGTATAGTAAATTAATACTATATATAAAAGTTTCAAAGTACAAATAGTGAAGTATGTATTCTCTTAATAGTTTTTTAAATTAACTATTTTATTCATAGTTAAAGATTTTTTTGTTAAATTAAAATATTAACTAATTTTTATTTATTTTCTCATTAAAATCCTTGATTATATAAGCTTTCCTTAATTGGTAATTTTCTTTTTAAATTGAAATATTAATTAATTTTTATTTATCTTTTATTAACATTAAAATCATTGATTATTAAAGTAATTTTGTCCTTAATGAACAATTTTCTTATTAAATTAAATATTAACTAATTTTTAAAATGATAGTATTATTATGGTGGAGTTTTCAATAAATAACTATTAATATAGAAAATTAGCACCTAAATTCTTGTATATGTGTATATGTATGTATTCTTTTCGCTTTAGTTTATAATTAACATTTCCAATATTTTATAAAAATACATTTAAACTTTTGCATAAGACTTTTAATTGACATATCACTGAAAGATATATGTGTAAAATAATTACAATAAAATAAGAAAAACATAATAATGACAAAAAAAAAAAAAAAAAACATGTTACCTGAATTTTGTGTAGTCATCCCTTCCTTGAATTCGCCGACGGAAGCGTTGTGTGTATTACCTATAATTAATGTTTTTTAAAGCGTTTCTAAGTGTTCTTTTTCAAATACAAAAGATTTTAAAATACATGTTAGAAATCAAATAGTTTCCATAAAGGTTGAATTTAAAAATCTAAAATTTAATTTATATTATTATTTTAAAAAATAACATTTAATAAATTTATTATTCAAACCATAGTACCGCAATCATTTCTCCAATCCTTAAATTATGATTTCCATTATAGCAAAAGCAAAGACAGAAAATTAATAAAGTAAAGGTCAAACAATAATTTTAAAGGGAAAGAAGGAATCAAAGTCGTAATCAAGTGGGACTTATCATAACAAGGGAGGTAAAATATTTTTGGGGGGTCGTGACGCTGCTTGCCCTCGTCTGGTGCTGCTCATGCTTTATAGTTATGTCAATAGATAAATTATAGGATGAGTAGTAAAATATTTTTTATTCTCATTATTAATTTTTTTATATTATATCAATCTCTATATTTATATTTAATAGATATTTTAAATTTATTTTTAATCTTATCTATGTGGATATTTAATGAGTATACATAATTTTTTCCCGTAATTTTTTTTTCAAAATAAAATTTATTATTTTTAGGTTTTTATTTTTATTGTGCACATTTATGTAATATTTCATAAATACATGATTTTTTAAATACAAATATATTAATTTTAATTAATCTTAAAATTATATTATTAAATAAAAATTAATTTGTTAAATATATATAATGTACGAATACAATACTATTTTATTCATTTTCTTTCTCGTACTTGATAAAAATTTAAAAGCATATTCATCCTCATCTCAAAAATTTAATACTCATTCTAGTCCATATCAAAATAAAAATTAGATTCTTTATCAGGTTTGAGTAAGATTGACTCTACTACTTTGTAAAAAAAATAAAATAAAATTTGAATTTAAAATGTTGAAAATAAAAAAAAAAAGGCTTTGAAATGAAAAATGATTTTTTGTAAAAAAATTATGTCTAGCATTTTTGTTTTGATAGAAAATTTTCTTATGAAATTCGAATCCCCATTAGAGTTCAATATCAATTCTAATTAAAAAAATATAAATGATTTAAAATGATAATTAATAAAAAAATTTATCAAATCTATAATCTAAAACGATATATGGTAATCTCCCAATTAGAACAATGTATTGGGCTAATTTACATTTGTCATTTAATTAGGCTTCACTTTTTTTTCTTTAGTATTTGCCTTGGTTTTTTAAATACGAAAAAATAAGAAATAAGAATTCAAAGCAAAAAAAAAAAAATTGAATTTTTTTTTAAAATCTATTAAAACATATCAATTTGCTTAATTTTTACTAAATTAAATTGAATAATTAAAAATATTTATTTAAAAAACTCTTTAAATAAAAATTTTAAAAATGTTGTAATTTATAATTTTTATATCTTTGTATGTAAATAAGGAAATATATATTTAAATTCAAATAATTTATATTATTTTAAAATTAAAAAATGATCTCAGTGTTGTCGGGTTCTAATCATAATTTAAAAACTATTTTTTATTATAATTATGATATTCATTACAAAAACTAACTAAAACAAAACTTCCAATTCATAGAAACCATATCTTTTCTAACCGTCTTAAAATAAAAATAAAAATGAGCAAATATTGCAATCAAAGGCAGCAAATCCTGCCTATCTTACAAATTGTCTACCCATACCATACAAATTCTCTGTCAATCAACAAAACTTACATCAAACGGCAAGGGTAAGTCTATACAAATTAAATTGACCAAAAAAAAAAAAAAGAGCCAGCCATAGTTACAAAGTTATTTCACACTGTATCATTTCATCTCAAATAAATTAACTAGTCCACAGCTTGACAAACTCCATTTTTGAAAACTTCAATTGGATAAAAGATGAAAGTTTTAAACCCAACTCAACCAAAACAAATTAAATAAAAAAATGGAACTGAGGAACATGAGAAAAGCATTCCAAAGTGTTTAATTTATCACAGTTGCACAACACATGCAGGTGCCAAAGAGAGAAGCCCTAGGCTTGCGCTTCTCTTTACCTTTTTTTGAAGCATATGTGACTTCCTTGGCTGAAACCTTGGTTGCCTTCTTTGTAGCAGATTGGTTGTCTTGTTTCTTTGGATTGATTAACATGTGATCAGCTTCTTCATCATCTTTCAAGAAGCCAAGGAATGGAGTTTTTGACTTGTCAGAATCACTTCCTTCTATTGTAACAACTTTCTCCTCTACTGCTATTGCCTCATACTCCAATGAGTTTTTACCATACTCAGCGTTTGCTACTGGTTTTCCAGGATCAGTAACATCAGCTTGGCTTGAGAAGCTTTCGATTGTAGTCTTATCCTGAACCAGCAAAGGGGTTTGATCTGATTCTTCTGCTCTTGCATCAATTCGGAGATCAAGATGAAAGCTCGGGGATTTCCGCGTTTGAGCATGAATGCTCGTGTTATGAGGATTCGATTCGATGCTGAGCCTTCCCACACTTTCTTGTTGGTAATAATCACCTTTAGCAATAGCTTCAGGTGTTTTTGCAAGTGCACAATGTTCACTAGACTGTTTTACGGAAGACTTAGTCTCTGCCATTGCCAGTCGATTTGATTTTGGACATTCTGAAAGATCCCATAGAGATTTGTCACCTGTAAATTCAACTACGGAAACAACATTTTTCTCTGTCAAGTTTTTGGTTACGAAAGAAGCAGTGGTAGAAAACTCACAAAAACTTTCTTCCTTTACTTCTGCTATGGACTCGTTGCTATTTTGAACTTTCCTGCATTCCATGTCACTGTACTGCCGCTGCTTCTCAGGCAAAGCATGGAGAAAAGGAGATGGGCTAAGAAATGCTTCTGCTTGTTCTATAGGATATGAGCCAGATATACATTGCTCTCCATTTTCTCTTCTTGATGTATCAATTCCAATGAGATTTGAATCTTTCTTCTTTTCGACCATTTCTTCTATAATTTTCTTCTCTTCTGATTCTTCTTCTTTGTATTTTTGATCCCTGAGGAAAGTATCTGCCGAAATCACTGCAGGGTCAGTGACCAACTGAACTTTTTGTGATTCCTTTTGTTGTTCTTCAGTAGCTTCATAGTGGTAGTTAATGGACGCATCAAGCAGGTGACCACTCTCGAGAATCTTTGCCTCCTCAAATTGACAGTACTTATTACAGCTCTTCGAATCACAAGATGTACCGAGCAGACATCTTTCTTCCTCGTTCTGATGACCGTTCATCACAAACTGAGGCGGAGAGGCATTTTGCTTATCAGCTTTTGATCCTTCCTCTGACCCCAGGCCATTTGATTTTTCGATTGACTCCTCTCCAGATTGAATTTGGCAATGAGAATGCTTGCTATTTCCATTTTCTGATTCTTCCTTTACCGATGTGGCTTTTTGACTAAGAACTATGCCCTTGTCTTCAGTTTCGGAAACTTCCACTATGAACTTCTGCGTCTCATCTGAAAGAACAGCTTCAGCTTTTGATTCAGGGGAATCATTTTTAATTGAGTTCATCTCACTTGGCAACTTTCCATTGCATTTGGCTCCAAATCCCTTAGGCAAACCTCTCATTATTGTGGTTATGGTTCCTAAATTATTCCCAGCCTCATCCCCGTCTTTAAGTTCAAACTTCTCTTCACTGCTCACTTCTTTAGTCACCATCTCTTTCACTGAAAACTCATCCCTTTCCTTTCCTACCTCCAGACTTTGATCGGGAAAAACACTCTCGAACGTATCAGTTGATATGCTTGAATCTAAAACGAAACCATTTTCCTGATCTGGGCATGTTAAAGATAGTATGATCATATCCTCAATTGTCAGTGGCCCACTGCACACTTGTACCTGTTGCTCTGTATGGATTTTGGCCAATTCATGTTCGTCAGGCTCTAGAACTGCAAGTTCTTGAGGTACAGAATCATGTGAAGGAGAAGATGCTGCCCCAGAAATTGAATTTCTAGTCCCCTCATCATCTGTTGCAAAATAAGTGCCAAATAACTAAAGTGGATATCTTGTGTTTATTGTGCATCTAAAGTAAAAACTTATAAAACAAATTGATATTTATGATGTATCAATATCTTTTAGCACTCACTTACAGAAGAGTACTAACCTTCCATCATGGAATTCTGGTTCTCAAAATGATGAATTCTTCCAGATAGATTCTTCTCGAAATTTGATTCTTTTTGCACCTCATTATCGTCCAAGCTCTTGGATGAAAAAACTGGTCGGGTTTCATTGCCTTCAACTGCTTCACTTGGTTTTGCATCAACCTTTGTAGATTGAGCTGGAGGATGAAGTTCAGTTTTTCCTTGTTCTATAAATAAGGAAGGGCCAAAATAAGTTTTAAACAGATCACTCCAGGAACAGATGAATATTAAACTCAAATAAAAGGCCAAATAAATTCGGGTATAACTTCAGCATGCTAGAATGAGAATTTACTAACCTTGCCTTTTCAATGTCTTATTATCAAGAGTTTCTCCTGCTACCATCGGCTCACCGGAAACCGATTCTGCGTCTGTGTTATTATAACCTTCACCTTCAGCTGCAGGAATTGATAATTTTTTTTCTTCACCATCATCTGCCTGATTATCTTTTGCCAGATGCTTTTCTTGATGTTCAGCATTCGTGTTGTTCTCTTCTGCATTGATCAGGATTGTAAATAGACAACCATATATTGGCAAATAAAATACTGCATTTACTAACCTTTCTCATGCTCTTTCGGATTGTCACCAAGAGGATCTGCTGTTCCCTCAGGATCACTGAAAACCAAGCCTGTTTCATTTCCTTGAGCATTTTTACCATCAACTGCAGCAAGTAGATGATCTTGTCTTTCTAATTCATCTGTGCTAGCAGGTTCTTTTGAGGATTGCTTCTCAGCTTCATCATTAATGTTAATATCTTCTTCTGCACCAGTCCAATAGCATTAGGAATATACCAACATAATTTAGAGAGTGTGATGCTGAAACATGTTTTTCTGCATTAATTCGTTGGAATTGTAACACATTGGCAACAAAACACTGTATCTACTAACCTTTCTCATCATGTTTATTCTTGTCAACACGAGTATGTGTCATTCCATCACGGTCACTAGAAACCAACCCTGTCTCAGTTCCATTAGTATTTTCATCTCCACCTGCAGGAACTCGGTGAACTTCTGCATTTGTTTCATCTGTACTAGCGACTTCTTGCAAGGGTATTTCCTCTGCTTCAGGAATTGTGCTAGTATCTTGTTCTGTATCAATCCATCATTGTTACAAGTAAAATAATATATTTTACCGAGGGTGATGCTGATATTATGGGACTGTTAATAGACAACCATATATCAGCAATCAAGATACTCTATATACTAACCTTTCTCATCCTGCTTCCGGGTATCAACATGAGGAGATGCTAGGCCATCATGTTCAGTAGAACAAAACTCTGTTTCATTTCCATGAGTATTTTTATCCTCAGCTGCAGGAACTAAATGATCTTGTCTTTTTGCCTCAACTGCATAACCAGCATCTTGCATGGATTTTTCCTTATCTATAGGAATCGTGTTATTATTTTCTTTTGCACCAGTCATCATCATTATATATATAGAAACAACTTTAGCAAGTTTGATGTTCACATTATATGTTTCTGCTTTAGTCCATTGGGATTGTACATAGACAACCATTTAATGGCAAGAAAATACTGCACTGACTAACCTTTCTCATCCTGTTTCTGGTTGTCATCATGAGGTTCTGCCACTCCCCCCAGATTAATAGAAGCCAAAACTGCCTCTTTTTCATTTACATATATAGTTTCAGATGCAAGAACTTCATGATTTTGTTCCTTATTATCTATTCGAGCAGCGTCTTGCATAGATTTCTTGCCTTCGGTTTTCATGTTATCTTCTTCTGCATTATCCCACCAGAATTATAAATAGAAAAAAAAAAATATATATATATATATATATATATATATTTTGAGCATGTCAAATGCTGAATTTAACCTTTATTTTCTGGTTTTTGGTCATGACCATTGGGATCTTCTCTTCCTACATCACCAGAAACCAACCCTGTCTCTTTTCCTTGAGAATCCTTATCTAGAGTTGCAGGAACTACATGATTTTCTCCTTTCAAGTCATCTGTATGAGCAAATTCTTGCTGAGATTTATCCTGAGCTGTGTTATCTTCATCTGAAATATAGTACACCAGCACTATAAGTAGCTTAACATGTAGTACATTTTAGCAAGCATTAACTTAAACATGAATTTAGAAACACCTTGTGATTCGACTTACCTTGCAATCCAGATGTGTTGTTGTTCCCCATTTCATTTCCCATGGTCAATTCACCAAGCCCTGAATATATTGAAGCTGAAAGATCAAAGGTTGTGGTAATCAGCTATGATAGCCAGAGACTTTCCTGCTGAAGTATATGAACTAAAGGGAGCCAATTTCAAAATATACCGGTCCAGAAAACCTTACCATTATTATGATGATATTCACATGCAAGTAACTATAAACATTTGAGTACAGCTTGATTTCTGTGAGACTGCCAGGGTGTTACAGCAGTTGATGAAATGGTTACTTCATTGGTATTGCTTAAAGCATAAGCCAGAGTCGGGTCCCCTGTCAGCCTAATTGATATATCTCACTAAAGTTGCAGAACATTTGCCTCATTCTCCTTTCCTTTTTGTGTGACATTGACTTTCTGTGACCAAAAACTTTATAGGAGTACAATCCATCAGGACAATATTAACTAAATAATGTTCACTGTCGGCAACTCAAATCTACCTATTATTGTCCTGTCTTGGACATAAAATTAATGTTGAGCTTGATTCTTAAATAGGATTATTCCAATTTCTAGGCAATCTTGGAGGAACAAATAGGTTAATCTAACCTTTCTAGGCACTAATTTCTGTATGTGCTGCAGATGCTCCAGAGGTGTTTAGATGGCATATTCTCAATATGTTAGTCCTAGGAAGAGGAACAGGTACATAACACCGCCTTTGGTAGGTTTTTTGAGGATGCCTTTTATTTTTTGCCAAGTAGGAACTTGTTGGAACACAAATGAGTTGGATTTTAGGTCGGCTGATCTTAGACAGTTAAGAAAAATAAAATAAAAAGCCTCATTTTTCTAAGATCATCTCCTGGTTTTCGTCTGAACATTGATAAAGAATAAGAGAAAAGACCTACATGGTTGTACAAAGCTACCTTTATGATCAAAAGATGGCTAAAGGGGCATTATAAGAATCCAAAGACAACTAAAAAATCCCAGCAAACTTTGTAATTTTTATGGTCCAGATGAACTAGTCTATTATCAGATTGACAGATATTCAATATCTAATCCACTAAAGATTATATCTACTGGCTTGTTTCTTTACCCTGTAATTGGTATGGAATAATTGTTCTGATAAGGCCATGATCGGGTGGGTCTGTTCTTCAAAATTTCTTGGTCTTAAAGCTTGTTCTTGTTCTTACAGGGTGGCTAAGGACATATACATATATACATACATATAAATAAATATATATATATATATATATATATTAAAGCTAAACTCATCATGGTTATTTATTTGCTTTATAAATCTTTTACCTTTGAACTTGCTCAAAAACCAAGTAATTGGACCCCTTTCATCTTCCTTTTCTAATTGAGGGGAATGGTGGGTGGATATCCACCATAATCGCTTCTTTAACAAAAGATTAGCCATTGAAATGATTGTACCATCTGAGGCGTTGTGACTTTTGTCATTCCCCTCCAATCAAACTAAATTAGCTCTGATTTGTGCACAAAAATCAAGGGCTTTTGGTCAGCCTATTGGAATAGAATGTCTCCGTATCTTTTTAGGTGGCATATGAATCAATAAATAATACTGAAGAAACAATGATTATGGCTACCAATTATTAAGAATTGTTGCGACAAAATATTGAAATTGCTCTTTCACTTCACAATGAATTGAAATGTGGACTAATTATTGAATGAAAATGTTAATAAGTTGGCACTCGAACAATGGCTCCGAAGTTGATGCATAATCTCTTTATTTAAAGTGTTACAATAGTTTTTGGATTGTTAAATGAATTTAAAAACACAAGAAATCATTATTAATATTTTTTAATTAAATGTGATTGATCATTTATTAAAATTTATTTTTTAATAAAATCTTAAAATTAATTAAAAGATAATTTTTGAATTTGTAAAAATAGCTTTGATTCGAGAAAATGGTTAAGCGTAAGAAATGATTAGCACTTTTACAACACTTGTTTTAAAAATGATATCAATTAATTATGTGTTATCATTTAATCTTAAAAAAAATGCTCTTAATTTTATATTTAAAATTAATTTTCTTGACTCCCTTTTTATTCATCACAATTTTAGCTTTCATTTTTTATTTTATTTTCTTCACAAAGTTTTCTCTTTTTATTTTTTATTTTTTTTAAAGAATTATTATTCTATTTTTGTTTGAAAAAATAAATTAAAATCTTATTATTGAAAAACTTTTAAAATGTTTCAATATGTTGGTAATATTGAAAAAAATTTTCTTACTTAAGGATATCTTAAAAATCACTAGTCGGATTTTTTTAAAATCCCATCCTCAAATGTTCACATTTATTTTTTCATGATTTAGTAATACACATACAATTCAAATAATGAAACATAATATTCATGTATTGATATGCATATTTTATTTATGTATTTATATTTTATTTTATTTTATAAATCATTTTGTCCTTTCTTGAGAAAAAATTTATTTTTTTCCTTTTTATATATTTTTTGTATTTTATACATTTTTTATAGAAGAAAAAGCAAAATTTTTTTCATTGAAAATATTTTATAAACACTCAAATACATTGGTAGTATTTAAAAAAAATAATTTCTCACTTAAAAATTTCATAAGAATCATTATACAAATTTTTTTAAAATTTCATCATTGGAAAGTTTCCACCCATTTTTTATTTTGTTAAATTTATATGGTGAAATAAATATAATTGCACTAGATAAAATTAAATTTATAATCTTAACTATACAACTAAACTTGCTCATAGACCAGGCTGGATTGAGTTCGAACTGGACTTGATATGATATTCTAGCATTTTAAGCAAGCTTAAGCCTAACCCGATCTGATTTTTTATATCTTATTTTTTATCCAAGCCACTTTCTACATGTAATAATAATGTCCAAATCGGCCCAAAATATTAGTATTTAAAATTAAGAAAAAAAGTTTTTTTATGTTTCTTTGTAAATTATTAATTTAATTAATTTTAATTGAATTTATGAGTTATTTGGGCTTGTGTCCAACTTAATTTTATTAAATGCAATTTAAAATTAGATCATTATTTTGTATAAAGAAAATGGGGCTTTATTATATTATAAGTAATAAAGCAAATGGATTTTGTCTATTACAAAAAAAAAAAAAAAAGATAAAGCAAATAAGTTTTGTTCCATTATAATAAAAAATATTTTTTAATTTTTGGGCCAAGCCGAGCCAGGTCTTAAATGGTGAAACCTAAGTCCAGCCTTTTTTTTTTATTAGGTCCCATTTATTTGTCCAAACACATTTAATGAGCTTAATATTCATATTCAAGCCCTTCAAATTTTCAAACGAGTTTTTTAGATTTGACCTGGCTACCTAACCTATAAGCAAGTTTATATACACCATTAGATTTTTTTTAAAGATACTTTTACCATCATAAATAAATATATGATAAATAAACCAATAAAACAAAATAAATAGATAAGGTTGAAATATACCTACAAGATTAAGCTAAACCCAATTTAAAATTCAAAGCAAGACTATTAAATTAACTGAGCTAGAGTTACAATAAGTTTAAAGTATAAACCAGAAAAAAGTTGATTAACAAATCCTATTTAGGTCGACAAGTCCATAGGTCAATCAACAGAAGCTTTTTTTGTTCTACTTTATAAAGCCTTAAGCATTTTTTTTTATATTCATTTTATTCCCTTTTTTGGAAAAAATCCTAATCACTTTAAACAAACTTTTTAACCTAAAAACTGGCAGCTTCTCTACCTTCGTTACCATCATTATTTCATTGTATGCCGCTGATGACCAAAGCCAAAAATCCTTCAAAATTCATCTCCTAATTCATTTTAACCTTTTTTTATATTATCTTTTACCTTAGTTTTTCCTAAAAATGCCTCAATTTTACTATATCTAGACTCAAAGTTTCAACTTCAACACAAAATGGGCCTTTCCAACATAGCAAATGCCACCTCTTTTGACTATATAATTTCTTTTCTTTTAGTCTTTTTCCTCACCCAAAAAAAAAAAACCCCCAACTTCAAAACTTTCGAATCTTCTTTGAGCCCTTCCAAATTGAAGCTTCATTGATACTTTTGTTTCTTTTTTTTTTTCAATTTGAAATTTTTTTGGCTTATTGGTGCTTTTTCCCAAAAGGGATATGGAATTTATTTTAGGTCTTAAGTGCCTTTGGGTTGATAGGTTTTTTTTGGGTTTACTATTGGTGTGATATAAGATAACTGATGGTGGAGGGTTTGATATTGACAGTGGGGTCTTTTGGTTTAAGTGAGTTCTTGGTGTAAATAGGCTATGATGGATTTAAGTGTTTAACAGTGGGTAGGGTTCGATTGTAGAAAGAAGGTCTAAGCAAAGTTAGTTATGGGTGAAATGAGATTATGAAGGTGGTTTGTGGAGGTTTGTTATGGTTTGCTTATGGTAAAAGGCCTCTGATGGTTTGAGGTTTGAGTAGTATTGGATATAAAGGATTTTTGTTAGGTTTTTCATTCAAAATTGGCCTCTTTTTTCTCTGTTTTAAGTTTAAAATCTTTACAGTTGGTTCAAATTTCAAATATTAGATTTTCAAAGAAAAAGAGGTTTCAAAGCATCATTGACAGCAAGAAAGCTTGTTGCATATTTCACTACAAATGAGGCTTTGCAATGTCCTGTATTTGTCATCAATTTATGTTGAATTTTATAATTACAGTCTTATTTATTTTAGGCTGGGTTAGATTTCTTTTAAGGAAAGGATAACAAATGTATCCATATTAGGTTGATCACAAGGGAGGGTTAATTGCAAGGTAGGTCAACTGGTAGGGGAATAGAAATTGCAGACCTCTTCTCTTTTTTTTTTAATTTCTTTATTTTGATTTTTTAAAAAATTGATTGATTTTTTTAATTAAAACTTAACTAATCCTAATGAAACAAGTTTGGGTTTTCAATATGGAAATTGAACCTTAGGCTTTCAAAATTCAAACCCAACCAATTTGGACCTTAAGCTTTCAAGCCCAAAATAAATTAGATTTGATCGAATTTGGTTTATACAGTCGAGCCCACTGGAGCCCAAATAACAAACTCAAATGAGATGTACAAAATAAGGTGCATTTCAAATAACTCAGATAAAATTAAATGTCTACACAAAAAGTAGGGTAAGAATCTCTTTCCCAATTGAATTTGAATAATTAGGATGAATTGTTGGGATCATGAAAACTTTTATTTC